CGCAAGCAAATATACAACCCCCGGCATGCGGCAAGGTAAACTATGATCGAGACACAAAACCAGCCTCAGAAAGTATGTTGTTGGCAGCCGTGGTGGGCGCCTGACAGGCAACACCGGCAGCACGACAAACATCTGGAGCAAAGTCATGCTGGAATGCTATCTGAAAACCCTGCCTCAGCCCGCTCGTACAGAAAATACCGCGAATGGGTCTGAAGGTGCGGCGGCTCACGTGGTAGCCGTTTAGGACGGTCACCATCATTGTATTGCACCCAGCCAGCCCCATTGGATTGCCGCAGGAAAGCCACATAATGACCAGAATCGAAGGACTGTCCACGGTGGAGTACCGCTGCACGCAGAAAATAGACATAGTTCCCGCGCTCGAACTCAGGAGGCGCAAAGACAGCTGTGCGGTTCAGCTGACCGAGGCCAGTTTCGCGCACAACTTGGAGCAAAGCTACAGGGCCTAGGTGCCATGACTCAGCAGATGTCAAAGAAGTGCGCTGCGAGCAGTGTGGGCAAGGAAGACCGCCGTCTGGCACAATGGCAGGATCTTTGTCCAGCAAGTCATTGAGGGCAATGGCAGCGCAGTCATCAAACGGTGGCAGTGTCAAAGCAGCGAAGACATGCCGCACCGGTGCTGCCGTCACAACGGGCATCTCGAAGGGGCAAGAGCATTGCGGATGATGCTTCAAGTCGTGAAAATGATCTGCCCACATACTTTGAAAAGCTATGGTGTCTTGAGGGCCCAGCTGCAACAAAATCTCTAAGGGATCATGCTGTTCTTCAAAAGTCACACCAATCGACTCCAAGGGGTTGGCCCAAAGAGGTTGAAGGTCTACTTCTGACCCCGGCTCACTGCTTGCGCGTTCAGTATCTCGCAACGCACACGCCCAGCAGGTGCTGGCGCAGGCCCGAGTGCGCTGGTGTTCTGAAGTCGCCTTGATCATTGGCAAGCAAGAAAAGACAGATTGAAGAAGACTGGCCAGCCAGCGTGAAGTCCCAGTCAGGTTTGGGAAGACGCCGCGCAGGCCTCGAGATCACAAGCATCTGTCACACGTGAAGCATATGGCAGTCTCAATGTGAAACAGCAAATATCCGAGCCTGGAGTGTTGCCATGGGCAGCGTGCATCCGCCGGTTCCGAACTTTGTGGGACACAACCCATGTTGTGTGAACGCGAACAAGCATGCTTCCGAAAGGGCATGTCACATCCGCCGGCTGCAAGATGCTGGTAGTCACCTGGGAAAAAAGGACGCGAAAGATACCAAGCTGGACACTGGCATGGGATGATGGAAGGAAACGCACACTGAAAATTCAGGCCTCGAAGTGGAGATCCGAGGCAGACGAATGCACAGCAGCTATGCGCTGTAGCCTGTGCATAGAGCGATGAATGCTTTGGCAGGTAGAGGTTTGTCAGAAAGTGCTAGCTATGGCAAGACAAGCCAGCGCACGCTTTCTGCAGTAGGCTTCGGCGCCACTGGCGCGTGGGTCCGCCCCAGCTGTAGCTATCACCTGCTTTTTTGGATGGAAGGCGGGCGCTGGCAATAATGTATTACCGCACTTACACCTGCCGACGAAAGCAACATAGGACCCGCACACCAAGACATCTCGAGGAACAAGCCGCTGGAAGCCGCCTACAGGTCGCATCATCTGCATGCAAGCACTGACATCCACAAACCGGCAGCACTGAAACAGATGTGTCGGGGCCTTCTGCGCATCTCGCCAAGCATGATCCAAGAACGCATCATCCTGGACAACAATCATCTACAATAGACCTATAAGACACTAGCGCGCGGGAAAACGCAATCGGACCTCACCGGCTGCAACGGCTCGGTCAACAGGCCTTGGGACGAATTGGGTCTATGCGCGGCGACGGCACATAACTTCCAGGGAAAAGCAACGAGACGCCTGCGCGAAGGACGAGACGACGGAGACGGAAGCTTGGCCTGAGCGGCAGCAGGGGACAAGTACCGAAGCACAAGGCCGCTTCATGGTGATGCTGTTCCCACCCATGTATAAGGGCTCGACTACAGGCCGCTGCAACTCAAACTTCCCCGGATGGGGCTCCTATTGCCAGGAGGCATTGCCACGTATGCGTCGAGCAATGCAAGCATGAGACTGAGATCTTGCCTTGGCGTCTTCCTCGTACGGCACACGAATCCATCCCACCTGGGATAAAAACAGGTGTTGCAAAAAAAAAACATCTACAGAGACATAGGCCAATGCGAAGCGGTGCACATGGGGCCCAGACAGGAGTTTTCAATGTCAAACGACATCCCCAAAACTTGTGCAGGAACGCAGTCACGTTGAAATCCTGACACAGATGCGACGGATGAGTTTGTGACCGTACGAAGAAAAGAAAATCATGGCCCTACCCGCATACAAAGGCGCAGCACGACTAGCCTCGGAGGCATCCGCCCAGCGCCCGGTCATGCCTTCACAAGTATAGCACATCAGGCCCGGAATGGACGCAACCAGTCGCTTCAAGGCTGAGGCTGCGGCTAGAAGACGTGGAGCCATTGGCAAAGAGAACGAGCCAAAACTTGCAGTTCAGCTCGGTTCAAAGAAGAAAAGGTGCAGGCCACCAAGCAAGACCAAGCAAAGAGCTCAAAAGCAAACCATCAAGACACTGCAGTTTGCAGCTGGCCTGAGTAAAAGGTGCAAGGCATCAAGCCTCAGCAGAGAAACATGCAGCCAAAGTGACAGGAGAAGCACTGAGGCTGCGGCCCTTTGCCGGGAGGAGCACATGCTCCCCCCTCCTCCTGCGCCGCGACAAGACAGCTCAACGGTTGAAGGGGCTTCTTGATATCCCAGGAGGGGGCCCTTCCCTTCAACCTGCCATCTGCCGCGGGGGCTCCTGCGGTTGCCCTACCGATTTGTGTCACGGCTTCGCTGCCGCCGCATTCCAGCACGCTTTTATGTTTTGGTCGCTGCGCTGCGCTGGGGAAGCCCCGGCGCAAGGCAGACGCGACGCTAGATCCGACGTCCGACGTTGCCCGGTCTATAGAAGAAGGCCTACATCAACCATTCTTTGTGGGACGCTGGCAAACAGCGACATTGCGCGCGGCGTCTGCCAGCGCGTGGACGCGCCATGCTGCCCGCAAGCCCGTCAACCGCCCAAGCGATTGACGTTACGCGAGGCACTTACTGGACAACTGCAAGGTGTTCATGCCGCAAAAGAAAATCGACTTGTGAGATAGACTGCTTGCGGTTTCGGGACGGGGGCGCTGCACCCTGCCCCCCAAGCCCTCCACGCTGCCGAGGATGCAGTGACGGCGCTTGTCATTTTGGTTGAAACTGAAAGACGTGCGCGCTGCAGGATCATGTTGTGATGCTGCTTGCTGCTGAGCCCCCCCCGCCCGCGCGTGGACCGCGGCTTCCAGGAAGCCATGCCGCAAGCAAGTCATGCGCATGCATGGGCGCTTGTCATTGGTCAATGGCAGGCAAGCAGACGCGCTGGAAAACCGCAAGACGTGAATACTGAAGGCTTATGATGAGCTGCTGCTTGCTGCTGGAGCCTCCCTGCGCCCTCCCCTTCGAGCCCCCCCTCCCGCTCTTTTTTTCTATACCGTTATGCGGACCGCTGCCGAGGATGCTGTGGCGGTTGTCATTTGGGTTGTAGCAGGCAGGCTCGCTAGACGTGAATACTGAAGGCTTATGATGGGCTGCTGCTTGCTGCTGAAGCTTCCCTACCGGCAGGCTATAGGACAGAAGATCGACTTGTTAGATGTGGTGAGACTGCTTGCGGATGCTGTGGCGGTTGTCACATTTTGGCTGTAGCAGGCAGGCTCGCGAGACGTGAATACTGAAGGCTTATGATGGGCTGCTGCTTGCTGCTGTAGCCTCCCTACCGGCAGGCTATGAGACAGAAGATCGACTTGTTAGATGTGGTGA